CGAGTATTTTAAATTTATTTTAATAACCGCATTTTTTTTTTTTTATGTAAAGATTTAGCTACGCCACAAATTTTACAAGCATAAAATCGATTAATCGAGAATCGAAAATCGAATCTTAAATCGATTCTAAATATCAAAATCCCTAATTATACATTGCGTAAAAAAATTGGAATTCCATTAAAGTACAAAAATTACTATGTCATTATTGCATTGAATACTTAATTTTATTAGCGTGACAGTACCATAGCATTTTATTTTCTGTTACAAGAGTTTTTTAATAATACATAAGACTAATATGCAAAAATCGATAGGAGAAATCCAAATTGCTCATCATTTGCACCACCATAATTGATGAATATATTATATATATTATTGATGGTATCGGTTCTTTGGGTGACTGATGTAATGTTGGTCTTGAAACTTCGGGAGAGTAGGAGAGTTCACTGGTAGCGTTGCAGGCGAACCCATATGAGATCCCGCAGATGATATTGGCTATCTCCTGCTTGACTTTCCTTACCAATATACTTGACTTTCTTCTTACATTAGTATTATGGATATGTTGCTCAGTGTCTGATACTAGAAAAAAGCAATCTCGGCCGCTTATCACATTAGCGAAGTAATATACATAGATGACAAATACCTGGCCTTTCTAAAATTTGGAGAATTCACCATAAAATAATTATAATAAAAATAATCGATATTAGAGGTTGGAACCGGTTAATTTTTAATCGGTTAATTAACCGGTTAAAACGGTTAACATGTTAACCGGTTAAAGATTTTTTTTAACCGGTTAAAATAGATGAATTTAAATCCGGCCGAAATTCAATTTCCGGCCAGAATTAAGATTTTTATGATTGACAAAATATTGTCTAACTCTGGCCAAATTTATAATACTGGGCAAAGTTAATTTTAACCGGTTATTAACCGGTTAAAGAATTTTCGGTCGGTTCCAACCTCTAATCGATATATTATATTATTTATGCGTGATACATACAAATATAAAAAATATAGCAGCATAGCCAAGTGAATGTCTACTTAAAAACATGAGACGTCAATTGATATCGATATCTCGTTATTAATCGTATAAACAGTAAATTTGGTGCATTCCGCATTGTACTTAACATTCACTAAGGTGACATCTTCTGGAACATTAATCGTTGAAGTTTGAATCACAATCATGGTAGAAATTAACCAAGTAAATATCAAAGTATTCAGCATATTTTTCGGCCTGTTTTACTGGATCTTAAATTCAGCTGCAGAAATTTTTTCAACTTTAAACTCATAGTTACCAATTTTTGTTATCTTTAGTTACCATCAAATCAAGAGCTTCATGAGCCCGGATTTTTACTTCGAACAAGCAATTCATTGATGCCGGTAGTAGCACATTTATGGCACAATAAACCGCAGCTTGAAAGGCTTTTTCCGATGGGCTATGTAGGTTCTTATTCGTGCGTCTACGATTGTTGCCGGTGTGATAATGTGTAATGCATATGTCAACAGGGAGAGAGGGTCTGTCACGTCTTGTATTGACAAAATTTTCCTTTGCGGCCAGACCATTTGGAAGACAACACCAAAAATGACATTGATAGTGAAAGAAACTGTATTTGTGAAAACTCCTACTTTCTTTTTGGTTAAGAGGACGAGAATGAAAAATTTGTCAATCTCGCTAAGGTTAGATAAATCCATTTTTTAAGATTCATCTTTAATTGTTGTGAGATCATGGACATAGCATCCATATTTCGCAATATTTCCTTAATCTTTATATGGTCCCATTCGGGTAATGTTCAAGGTTTTTCATCAATACAAGGCTCCATGCGGCTGATGAGTCCTCCCGAAAATTGTTAAGGAACCTCAATAGAATCATAAAAGATGCCGGATGTCCGAAGGACTCGCGTGCAATGATTGTCTGCAAATCCCTCGGTATACTCTCATCAAAGAACGTTTCATATAAGAGAAAGAGTTTGCCCATCTCTTCAAATGTGAAGAATGGCCTAGGGATTAAGGTGGCTTTGTTAAAGGAGATTCAAGTGGGTTTTCTTCATTATCGTTTAGCAAATCTAAGACTCTAAAAGTACCCACACAAACATAGGTAACTTTTTTTGATAGAGAGAGTTTTAAAGAAATCACTTGCCGTCATCTGGAATACCTGGGATTCGAAGATACACTGGAATTCGTCTATAAGAAGATATAAACGATCTTTAAGTGAATTCAGGTATTTATCGATCTCCAATTCGTTAATGATTTTCCCAAAGAGGCGATGAAATAAATAAATTGAACAATCCTGCCCGTTTCCCATATCGAATCCCGTGCTCTTTAAGTCAAGCATGTCGAAATGCGCAGGAACTATGTTCTTAATGAGTGATTCCTTGAGCGCAATTAAATAAGAGGTCTTGCCACTATGTTATAGTCCATGGATGATATAAGACTTTTCATGGAACATTCCGCTATACAATGTGTTAAAAACTTGTCGTTCGTATATAAGAAGCGCGAACTGCCACTGTAATGGAAAATTGGTCCTTCGGTCGATATAATATGACAATCGAGTTCAATAGAATAATTGTTTTTTCTCTTTCTGGACGGTTATTGCTCTAATTGTGCATAAAGGCATGATAGGGACGGGCGAATCAATCAAAGAGGCAATAAATGAAAATTTTTTAGTTTACAAACGAAAAAATAGCGCAAGATCCGTGTCACGTCCGTGTTGACTAATTAATACGACGCAAAGGTTTACATCGATGTTCATCTAAATGATTAGGAGACCAAAAATGACAAAGTTAGTTAATGAGCACCGAATATTAAAAAGTTGTCACGTTACTTTTAGAACATAACGGTCTTCAAGAAAGTCTCCTTTATAGTTAAGTTTCACTTCAGACATTTGGCAAGTATCAAGAAAACTTAAAACTTTATCTATTTCATTAGAAGATTTATAAAAGTAAGAATGTAAGTAAAACCGAGACTATTAATTATTTCACAAATTTTTGTGTTAGACATTTTGCTTTTTTGTAAATACTTCTTATAAAAACAAGAGACAAGAGAATAAAAATTGGTATCTAATATATAAATTCTTGTTTATCTTTCTATATAAAAAGTGATTTCACGAGTTATTATGAAATATGATATTCAGAATATTTATCGAAGGTCGTCGTTGATTACAGTAATAGTTATTGGTTGGGGTAAAATATCGGTCACCCAGAAGGGGTGAACACGATATTATTTGTACACAAAATGAAAATGGAAATGTTTACCACGCCTTCGTGAAAAATCAGTAATTTTTAATTATGATCTGCTTTAATATATTCGTTATACCTCCTCGATATCATCTATTGTCCTGTCTTGAAGTATGATTAATGAATTAAAGTTAAATTAATCATTTGTCAACGTGTTTAAGGGAAGAAATTACTAATTTATATTAGAAATTCTATATCAAATAAATTATTTGCTAATTATAATACTTTAAAATAGTAGTTTACATTTTATTAAAGTGGTTTTTTTTCAATTTTTCGAAACTTTTAATGATAAATACAGTACTTTAAATACCTCTCTTACAATCATTATATTTTCAATAAAAAAAAAATGTTAAGCCAGCTCCTTAATAACGAGTTACATTTCTTGTTGTCCTTTTGAAGAATAAACTCATACTTCGTCATATTTTTATGAGTGCCTTACCCTTGATAATGCAGAACTTAGTTTGTGTTTGCTCATTTAATATATAAAGTTTTCTCGCCCGTGTCATTTTTTCGTCTTATTATTTGTTAGTGCCCATTTTGTTTTAGAGTTGAAAGGAATTCTGGGATTATTACTAATTTTAAATCACATGTGCAACATTAAAATTCTCAATATCCGTTAAAAATTTCGAACATTTATTAATGTATCATCAAACTATCCGAAAACCCGATCGATTATTTTTTAGAATTTTCATTACCTTTATAGACATCAACCATCCTTTAGGAATTATTGGCCTAAGGACGAAAACTTGAACGTATCTGCAACCAAGACACCTTTTTCTGTGAGGAACGAAAGCCTCAAAAAAGCCAGCTACGTTTGGTTTTCAGAAACGGGTACAGAGACAATATTCGCAAGAGGTATTTTTCATTCTTATAATTAGACTAATATTCGATTATCTTTTACTAACGACATGCTGAAATGTTTCTATATGCCAAAGCTATTTTGCATATTTTTATTTAGATTTGAGAATAACATCTTTAGATCACACACCCATAAAGGCAAACAAGGCTAGTACAACTATTAAAGGAAAAGAATGAGAAAATTAAGAATCTTAGTAAAAAAATAATCTTACATATTCTTGTTACTTACCTGTTAGTATGTCATTAATAACCATCCTGGCTGCATTCGTCTGCAAATGTTTGTGTTCTATGGCTCTGAAAGAATCATTAATGTCGAAAGGTGACATGAACATTAATAAAAAATAAATTTATTTCAGTGATGGTAATTTATCCTTCTTTACCATTATATGCAGGTTGGTTTCTTTATTTTATTATATAAGATCACCTATTCATGTTCGACCTATCATGAGAGATTGAGTGCTAGCATAGAATGTACATAACCAATTCCTCCTCTGAGCCAGTTGACATTTATTAATAACAATATAAAAGCGACTGAATAAATAACTTCTCATAAAAAGTTCACATACCTTACGAAATTTAAAGTAGTGCTTCCGAGGAATCTAGGTAATAAATATACTTATTAATATCATCCATTAGACAGCTCAAAGATATAGAGAAGGTGCTGGGACGAAAAGGAGTAAGAAATTTATGAGGAATTTATACCCAGTTCTGGCTAAAACCAGATAATTCTTTTTGAAGAAAATAAGTGGGTGGTTCTCTTCCCAGTCTCGAAAATAACACGAATATATTTGCTAGAACTCCACATTCGAGCAGGTACATAATGAAAATGTTAGGGTAAGTGGAACGAGTTTTTCTTTTATAAAATCATCTTCAAAAAGTTACCAAGGAGTCTTCTCATTCTAAACGAGAAGAGGTCAACCATCGAGAATACCAAGACCATCACCCTCTTATTCAAAATCATCACCCGTAAAATGTGTCAAAACACCATCAACAATTGAAATACCTAATATCTCTAAACCTGTAATTCCCATCATCTCTTCTTTTTCGCAAAATGCGATTGTGACTAATGTTACAATCAATTACGGCGGAGGATCAGATGAACAACAAGAATAAGTTTTTTTCATTAGAGTAAAATAGCGTTTTAATGACTTAGTAAATAGTAATTTTATATTTTTATCACTTGAAAAAAAAACACATTTTATTATATTTTTGTAAAATAAACGTGAGAAAGGTCAGCCGACTAAGTAAAAAATGAAAACAATAAAGATAATGTTTATATCACGTTTAAAGGAAGGAATAATGCACAAAATGAAATAATATCATGCTTTCCGCCGGCCTTTTGAAATTTAGTGTAAAATATTAATGGCAAAATTAACTTTGGATGTTACTAATGAGATTGCACGTAGTAGAGGAGGTGAATGCATTTCTAAATATATATCAATTGTCAGATGCCAATGTTTTGGAAATGTGCTAAGGATCATTTATGGTCTGTAAGCTTACTAGTATAAAGAATGATAAAAACATGGTGCCCGTGGTGTTCAGTTGAAAATCGTTGTACTCGAACGATTGAAGATATGAGGAAGATTGCAAAAAAGAAAGGAGGACTTTGCCTGAGCATGTTAATAGACGGGATCCTCTTGAATAGCAATGTAAAGAAACATAAGTAGAAAGCTTCAGAAAAGGATATTCTTAAGGGGACTTGGTGTCGAAAATATAGTACACCAGGTAGAAAACATGCTATACCAAACCAAATGATTATCCCAGTACAAGAACATATTACACTAGAACAAGAATGTACTTTACCAAAAGACATGATACACAGCACCGAAAATGTAGTCAGCGACGATTCAATATTGATATAGCTAATAATATTGCTCAAGAACGAGGTGGTAATTGCCTTTCTACAGAATATGTTAATACAGATACCCCGATGCTTTGGAGATGTGCCAAAGGTCACGAATGGTCTACAACTTTTTATCGAGTAAAAATTATGGGAAGATGGTTCTCACAATGTGCTGATAATAGTCCTTGTGGTCTTTCTGAAGCTAAGGAAATCGCTCACAGTAGAGGATGTATGTGTCTTTCTACAGAATATATAAATCTCTGTGTTCCGATGCAATGGATGTGTAATAATGGTCATAAATGGTTTTCAAGTTTTAATTGTATAAAGTACTCTAAAACATGGTGCAACATGAAAGTCTATGTCGCGAGTCATAACTAACATTCTTGGCCCACCTTTTAGCATCCGCCGACCAGATTTCTTGAAAATACCTGAACATCCTCGAGGACTAGAACTCGACATCTACAATCCACAGTACATATTTGCTATAGAAGTACAATGTAAACAGCATAAGCAACATATAAAGTATTTTCACAAATTTCCGGAAGAATTTCAAAAGCAGTTGATGAGTGACCAGATCAAAAAAGAACTCTGCATTGCTCTAATACGTTTGTATTATGAGGACCCATACGTAATTATCCCAAATCAGCTTCGAGAGTTGGGTCTCATAAATAAACTCAAAACTTTAAATGTTTTTGCAATTTACTATTATTTTTTTTTTTTATTATAATTTTGTTCATCCAGAATTACACAAAAAATATTAATTCTTGCCTTTTTAGGTTTAAGCAACTCACAGATGAGAACGAGCTGTTATTTCATCTTGGCAGACGTATTATTTCGACAAAGTATTCTGCTATCTGGTATAATGCGGCTGTTAACTGTCAGTTTTTCAGTTCTAAGTTGTTATAGTCAGTGAGATTCTTCATTCTAGTTGCGGAAACTATATAGTTGCTGGCAAAACTTATTTTAACAAATGGCAATAGTCGAAACCTTGTATTTCGGATTTATTGTAAAAGGTTTAATATAGTTTTGACTTTTGACGGGATTTTATTATAGTTTCGAGTTTCGACAGTTTGGCTAATAAGGTTTATTATAGTTTTACCAGTAACCTCGTCAAAACCTGAAAGTTTATCAGGTAACTATAGGAAACAAGCTTTGCCCAGCCCAATGATAAAAGAAATTTGAAATTTGAAATAATTTATTAAGAAGTGAGGAAGATAAACGAAAATTTAGAGGTTAGGTAGAATTAAAGGGTATAATTGTATGAATGAATCTGAAAATTCAGTTATAATACAAAAGATGTGGTGTGGCTATGTAGCTTCTCAGTTCGTGAGAAAATCTTATTTGTCATCAAATATATGATAATGTCATATTAAACTTTTATATCTAATAATATGTATTGTTTAAATATAAAAATTATTTTATTTATTATTAACATTTTATAAAAACCTTAAATTGTTTAAATTGTTTGAAAACCTTACACTTGTCAAGATATTTTTCGTACCCAAAGATATTTAATTTAAAAAAAAAAATAAAACAAAATTATTAATAACTTAAATAAATTTTTAACAGACAGGTCGTTGCTTACTTTATAATTATTTATATTAACAAATAACAAATAAAAAATATGTGGGTGACTTTATTTAATAAGTAATATTATCATGTATATAACTGTAAGTTTGCTATTAAACACTTGTTATGGATCATATGATTTGTGTCATGACAATCAAAAACACACAAGATTTTAATCGGACGCGTCTGATATAAATATCTAAAAATATCGAAGGTAAATTTGATCCTTACAAATTTTTTTAATTAGATCTTTTTTTTCAAAATATTTTATAAAACATGTCTGTTACTACTTCTATCATCGTTCGTTCCCATTAAGCATCAATTGAAATAATCCCATATAAAGTATATTTTTGTTTTGTTCCTTATGAAAAGTGGTCCCTTCATAGTTTTATAACTTTATTAGTTGATACTATGAAAACGTTGATAAATTGGCTGCTCATTTTTCATTCTATAAAACGTTAAATTCAATTAATGACGATGCTAATATGTCTCAAGAAGTCCGTGATGTTGCCCAACAATTCTAGATAAGCATATTATGAGGCCAGGTTCTTTCTTATACCTATTAAATTCATTTTAATGGGAGTGATAAATCTTAACTTGCCCTTACAAGTTTTTAATACAAAATCTTTATATTCCAGCATCCAGCCATCCATATTAAACTTAATTTTTTTTTCTAATTATTTTAAACGATATTCTTCAAGCTAATAATAACATTTGGAGCCCTTCGCCACCAACATCGTCATCGTCCAATAATGAAAAAAGGGAAGCGCAACAGATTTAATAAGCACTTCATCTATATAATTCCTACAATTATCCCAGAAATGACATGCTTTGTTTCTGACGAAGATGTACCGTTGAAAGTAATGGTTCATTAGATATCCTTGAAGTTATAAATTCAGCCGTACATACTTTTGAAAAGACAAGGATACTATTGGAATAGGTTCTTCCCACTCGTATAAAAGCTCAAAACATCTACAAATAGAAAAGAAACATAAGAAATTGAAAAAAATTGAAACAATAATGAGTAATTACCTACCTATTAAGAAACGATCAAATAACCAAAAAAAAAAATATATAAAAAAATAACTAATTAATCATAAAAAAAGAGAATTAGAAAAAATAAATGGACAAACTCTAATCCAACTTGGTGAAGTCGAAACTCTGACCATTTGACAGTTTCGAGGGTTTCATCGATTTCGATGGTTTTAATTTTAACAGATTGGACTTAGTAATTAGCAAACCGATAAAATAAAGATGAAAGTTGCAGTATCTTTCATTATGAATATTATGAATTTAATAAAAGAACCTTAAAAGCAAAAAAAGCTAAATTAAGAAATAAAAATCATTGTTGCATTCCTGATAACTATATTCCAACAATTATTAGTTCGTTAATTTTTAGTATTGATGTCGAGGAAGTGAATCTTCAAATATATTTTTTTATTACGTTAATAATGAAAG